TGCAATTCCAACATGTTTTGTTACATTTTGCTTTTATACATGCATGTTTTGTGTTTTATTGGTTGTTATGAGGGAAAAGAAATGCTTGCATGCACTGATCAAATTCAGGCAGAAATTAAGACGTGTGGATTTTTGGAAGCAAAAATAGAACAGCTGATGCATTTTTCAGTTCTCAGATATGCCCATCCACTCACACGTACTTACATCATCTTGGTCTCGCATGGCATTCAGACGTTCCAGCTCCTTGACCCAGTAGCGTGCCTCTTCTTCAGGAATATCTGCAAGAGGGGAAAAAAAGGGGGAGATTTTTCTCATTAACTGAACCCCATTAGCAAAATCAAGCGGTCTAGCATTTTTAGGACTATCTAATATCAGGCCACAGCTGTGAGGTTGTATTTTTTAAATACAGTCCCTTGAGTGGGGTTCATGGGGAGAGGCCAGAAAAGACAAGATGGTGACAGTGACTATATGATCAAAGCCACCATCTTGACTTTTTTGACCCAACCTGCAAATGTGCTTGAGTTCCATATTAAGGGGGGGGAAAACCCAACCAGATCTGTGCATTTGGACAGTCAATATCATATCCCCAATCTTTTAATGCTGGGTGTAAACATTTGGAATTTGGCAAATTCTCTATGGAAGTTTTCTAAAATGGCTGCTGAGGGGGACATGCCTAATCATAAAATGGCTGCTAGGAAGGATATCATTAGTTTGAAGTGCAGAGTTACCAGAATGCAACCTGTTCCCTCTGCTACAACTCCTGCAGGATATCTTATCCACTACTTAACCTCCAGGTGTGGCACTTGAAGGTGTGGCACCTTCATATGACACACTGAACTGCTTCCCCCCGTTATTTTTATTTTTTCAAAAAACGTATGGGGCTCATTCTTAGATATAAAGATGCTACAGAAGGTGACACATTATTCTGCAGCATTCCAATTTCTTATTTAAAGGTATATTATTTTTTAAAAGGTAAAACATCAGGAGGAGCAGGCAACTGATAGAGGCCCAAGGAAGTGTTGTTGAGCTTTGCTGCCTCCCTGTGCGATGTTGGGCAGCCAAAATATAAAGGTTAGTGATGAATTAGGAATCAAGAGACCTTTAGGGCAACAATCAGTACCAGAAAAAACAGAAATTGCATTGATTTCATGTATATTTCTTCTGCATCCAAGCCTGCAAAATTCTGCAATAGGAAAAGCAGGAGTCTGCAAGCTGAACATCATATATACTTGAAGATTAGCCCATCCATGGATAAGCTGACCCGCGAATTTTTAACCAAAATACTGAGAAAAATGCGCCACCTGCAGATAAGCCAACCCTTGAAATTTCCGTATGTTTTAATTTTCACACTTGGCTTATCCACAGGTGGTGCATTTTTCATGGTATTTTGGTAAAAATTTGAGGGTCAGCTTATCCATGGATGGGCTTATCCATGAGTATATATGGGATATACAGGTATTTTAAAAAAGTATTACCATATATACCTGCAGATAAGCCCATCTGCAGATAAGCCAAGCCCAAGTTTGGCGTGTATTTTGGCACCTAAAATTCTCACCTTATCCACAAGTATTTATGGTATATATATTTGTAAATGTGCATTAAAAATCTTACTCTTTGTATGGCAGAAAAAAAAAAGTTGCATTCTCCCACACCACAGACACCTACTGCTTGCAACATATCCTACCAAGTGGGAGTTCAAAGCGGGTGTCCAAGAGGATACGGTGGAAGGTGGGGTCTTTGGTCCCAGAGATCTCATTATCTGTCATGATGACATGAGAATCAAGAGTCAGCCACTCTCCTGGGCCATCCTAGGGAAGAACAAGGAGAGAGAGAGAGAGAGAGAGAGAGAGAAATTGTGCTTGATCAGACCAGTCTAATCCTGCATCTTCTTCTCCAATGGGCTTACTATGTTTCTGGGAAGAGTACAGTAGCCTCTTATTTGCGTCTTTCCCCTTCAACCATACTTGGTCCATCGAATACTGGAGGCAACATGTAACTATCATGTCTCCCAAACACTGATATCCTTCTCCTTCCTGATAGCCTGGCAATTGCAAAAAAAAAAAAATTCTTCCCCAGTAGAAACAAACAAACAGACAGACACTTGCTACCCAATTGTCTTTGTTTCCTGAACAAATGCCTTCATCTTTCCTTATGAAGAAGCCTCACATACTTCCTGGATCAGGTGGGGCAGCTCTCTTCTGGATTCGGACCAGATTGAAAATGCCCTTTCCAAGATGAGAATAACCAAAAGGAGGTTCTGGAAACTACAATCCCACACACCTAGAAGGCACAAGCCTGGACAGGAAGAAAACAGTCCACTACCATTTGCATTGTTGATGTTTTGATACATCCAAACCCCTTCTGTTGGGGAGGGGGCTCAAGTCTACTCAATGAGCAAGGAGAGCTCCAGACATCTGGTTATATACGCACCTCGTTTGATTGGCGGATTGTGCTTAGGGGGATCCAAACCGTGCCCACCATGGTGTCCCAGATAAGACCTTTGTTCCACACTTCCACTGTCAGCCCAAGGTCTAGTCGATTAATCTCACTGCAAGAGGGAGGTACATCTGTCAGACTGGGCCAGAGTGCCCATCCCCAGAGCTGATATCCACCCACCCCATTTCCACTATGTCTCCCACCCTGCCTCAACTCAGATCAGGGGTCCTCAAACTCTTCAGCTCATTGACCCCTTCATGAAGTTTCAGATTGTTCATCAACCCCCAAACATTTATTATATGAAAATAAGTTAATAAATACTACTTTAACTAATAGTCATTGGAGAACCCTGCTGTAACTAGAACAGGCTTTACTTTAACCAAGGGTGTCACCTGTTAATCACTAAAGAAAGAACTTCAATTCCAAATGATGATCTTGGCTTTTAATATCCAAAGAACATCACTTTGGATTCAGTTCCAAAAAGATGCTTGGAAGTGCACATGTGGCACCCGTCTACAATTCTTTAACACAGCCATGTCTTTTCCCTGGATTGCATGGCTGACCTTTGCAGCTGCTACGTGATTCCAAGAAAAGGTGAGGCTGTTTTGAAGAACTGCAGCAAACTGCTGCCCTGAACTCCCAATCTCCTTTTACAAAATTAAATCCAAAGGATTGCACAGCCTTAGTCCTCAATATCTTGGGCACCCAGATCACTGGAGAAACTGCTGATCCTGCTGGTTGTTTTTGAGATAGGTCAGATTGGTTGAACAATGGGAATAGGGATTTCTCCAGAGTAGCTATGATTTGTGGAATTCCCTTCTGAGGGATTTCAGTCATGGTATTGAGAAGGTCTTTGAAATTCTCTCCTTTAAATGAGAATTTTGCATGAGAGCCTGTCTCAGGAGCATGGCTAAAAAAATAGCTACTACTGTTGGTGAAGTAACAAGCTTTGGCTGTGTACAAACTGAAACCTTAAAAAAAACAATACAATCCTCCTACAATTTTATTATTATTGTGCATCATCTTGAGAAGGCTTTGCCCCAAATATGATTGATTTCTAAAAAATAATTTAATTAGGAAAATATTGTCCTTTCGCACACCTTGGTGCCATTTTCAATAAATGCATGCATTTATCACCAGCCCAACCAGTACATTTCTAGTAGGGACCTAATTAGCCTAAATTTAGATAGATTTAGTCCTAGATTCATTTAGCTATACATTTTAAATGTGTAAGCACCCAATATAACTGAGCTTTGTAGCAAAGATAAGCATATCTTCCATTGCCATGAGATGAGGTATCATCAGTATGCTGATGATACCCAATTGCAGGTAGTCCCCGGGTTAATAATGCCTGGGTTACAGACAACCCATAGTTAAGGACAGAGCCTACTGTAGCAAAATTCAAGTTAAATACGCAATGGTTCGAGTTCATTATACAATAATACTGTTCTGGCTTACATACAGGTTCGACTTAAGGACAGACCTTGGGAATGGAACTCATTCTTAAACTGGGGACTATCTGTATACATCTCTGCCCCTGGCAAATTAAGCAATGCTGTGGATGTCCTATCTCAGTGCCTGGAGGCTGTGAGGGTCTGGATGAGGAGCAACAGGCTTCAGCTGAACCCTGGCAAGACTGAGTGGCTCTGGGTTTGGGGGCCTTCTGGTTCTAGGACAATGCCCTCTTTGGTGCTGGATGGGGTGGCACTGCCCCAAGCAGACCCTGTATGCAATATGGGAGTCCTCCTGGACTCACAGCTCCTGCTCAAAGAGCAGGCGGCAGTCGTGGCTAGGAGGGCCTTCGCACAGCTTCGTGTTGTGCACCAGCTGCACCCATTCCTAGATCAGGGAGCTCTGCTCACTGTCACTCATGCGCTAGTCACCTCCTGGTTGGATTTCTGTAATGCGCTCTACATGGAGCTGCCCTTGAAAAGTATCCGGAAGCTTCAGCTGGTACAAAATGCAGTGGCGCGGACAGTTATGTGTGCCCCTAGAGCAGTGCACATTACACCTCTGCTCCAGCTGCACTGGTTGCCGGTTTGCTTCTGGGTCCAATTCAAGGTGCTGGTTTTGACCTTGAAAGCCCTTCATGGCATGGAGCTGGGTTATCTGAGGGACTGCCTCTCCCCGATTACATTTGCTCGTCCCATCAGATCTGGCAGAGAAGGCATGCTGCGGGTCCTACCTGCCAAGGAATTCCATTTGGCGGGTCCCAGGAGGTGGGCCTTCTCTGCCATGGCACCCACCTTGTGGAATCTCCTCCCCCCAGAAATGAGATTAGCCTCATCCCTCTTATCATTCCGCAAGTCTCTCAAGATCTGGCTATGTGATCAGGCCTGGGGATCCCAGGGGACGGAGGAGATTTTGCAATGGCTCCCTCACTACGATTAATATCATCCTCTCTTGTTCTGTGTGCTTTTTATAGTTATTTTTTAACTGTGACTGTTTTTATGTATTTATTGTTTTTAATTAAGTGTTGTACGCCGCCCAAAGTCACTTTTATGTGGGCGGCTCTATAAATATAATAAATAAATAAATAAATAAAATATGAACTCCCAAATGTTGAAGAACTCCAGTGCTAAGCAGTATCACCAAAGGTAAGGGATAATGGGATGGGAACAGCAATCTCTTCATTTTTGGAGGGCCACAAGTCCTGTTTCTGGCACATATTATTGGCCTACACAGCAATTTCACATCATTGTTGGCATATATCCACCACCAATATTTGGGAAGGCAAAATGGTTCCCACCCCGACTTACAACATGAAATCTTGTTCCCAGGAGGGAAGGTTCCCTCGCACTGCAATTGTCGTGCTCTTTACATTCTGAACTTTGAGGGTCACGTACGTATTGAATTTTTCTACCAGAGAGAAAGCAACACATAAAGGAGAACATAAATGGAATATCACAATTGGCAGCACTGGAAGAAAGCACATGAAAGATTCACGCTTTATCAGAATATTACACCATCCCCCATTCAACAGCTGGTTTTCAAGTTGCGTTATGCTTGTGAATTCTGGGTACTTCCTCTCTTATCCTCTCCTCTCCCCTTCCCTTCCTTGTTCCTCTTAGAAATGCCTAAATCACAGCATTTTAAAACATACTTCCCCAAGTGGCCAACTTGATGCTTCTGTGAAGACCACAAGGGCATCATAACTACAAAACGAAAGCACTTTTATCACTCATGTTCCTCGATGGCTGCTACTAAGAGACCTGGGCATGGAATGAATATTTAATTATCATGATTTTGATGACCTTATCCTCTATGAATATATCTAATCCCAATTTGGCATCTATCTTGTGCAAAAAAGGATCTTGTGAAAAAATCCTCCTCCTTTTTGGTCCTAGCCTCCTTCCATGTAGCTCCTCTGGATGACCCAGGTGTTATTTCAAGTTTTCCATACTCATTTTTTCCAAATCATGTATACTGTTATAGTTTTTTATCATAACCTAACAAATAAAAATGAAGTAATGAAATATCCGCCTCCCTACTTACCTTTTTTTGCACCTCAAATAAAGGAAGGTTTCCTTCAAGATCAGTTGATATGGCAATATCTTGGCAATCGCATAGGAATGGTTTATTAGTTTTTTGAGATCAGCCAAGATTGTTAAGGTGTCCCCACTTATCTAGGTCTTTCCTCAGTTAAAATTCCCCAGCATTGCAACCATCTCAGAGGGGAGATGTTTCTGTCCTCTCAACAGGTGACTCACTTTTATCCACACTTTGCATTACTCAAGAACAGGGTAATTTCTCAGGACTTTCAGCCATCAATTAAAATTAAAAACAATAGATGGAGGCTAAGTAAAAGGGGGTGAAGTTTCAATGGCAGGATTGCAGCCAACATCATGACTTTTTTGACACCTTCCCCCCTCCCCCGACTCACTTGACAACCACAGAGGATGGAGCCACAGAAAAATCTGGTGAGAGGACTCCCTTTTAGCAGCTGTTTGAGATAAAATCATGGAGCCACTTTTCTTTGCACAACTGCCCCTCCATGTAGTAAGACCACAGAACAACATCCTCATCAACAGGTAGTAGCCATAAAGGGTTGCTATTTAACCCTGCCCTCCACCCCAGCCTGATGGCTGCCTGCCACTCAGTTCTGAAATCTGCAGGTCCTCCAAGAGAGGAGCTGAACTTGATTCATCAAAGTAGATCCTGGTTGAATTTGGATTCCTCCAACTTCTCAGGAGTTAAACGGAGCTAATCTGATCAGTCACCTTTGGCTGATCTCAAAAGGGTCAGAACAGGTTAGTGTTTGAATGGGAGACCTCCAGACACTGTAGGGTAGACTGGGAAGTTGAAAACAACATACCAGAAGCAAACAACAATGTCTGCACTTTTGCTGGAAAAATGACATATTTGTAATCTCAAGGAGGATGAAAAATACAGAGCGGGGAGTCCAAATCCATTTCCAGAGCAGGGACATCTGCAGTGAAAGTCACAGGCTTCAGAATGGCAACCACAACCAGATGCTCAAAGTCCTACCCCTTTTTACATGCGTGTAATGTGACTGTTGCTGTGGATGCTCCTGTTTCACCCACAGGTCCAAATGCATCTGGCAACCTGGGTTAAGAAAGTCCCCAAATCTGAGCCCCACAAGATTCTTTGGGCAACTCCTTATATCCCCCTAATCCTGGCATGAATATGTCCAGGCAACTGTTTTTACATGACATGTCCTTCTGAGGTTACCTTTGTCTTATCCCCAGGTGAAAGAATTTCAAGTCAGCTTTAGCTGTTCCAGGTTCAAAGCATCGCTTTCCATCTTTGCTTAACACAATTTCTAGTGTGGACATGATCTAGTGTGTTTTGTTCATGATGTGGTCAGGCATGGGATCTGCCCAGCAATTACTGGCCACTATGGCTGCCGTGGGCACATTCTCCTTGCCCTCCAGTTACTAGAAACTACCCTCCATTTCTGTTTTGGCCAGAGCTGTCGAAGAGAAAATATATCTTTTCTGCAGAGATGTCTTTTTCCATAATGCTTGTCTGATGTCTTCTGAAGCGCCTGATAGGTCTTGTGTGAGTTCCTTATATACAGAGGTTTAGGGCTCTTTTGAAAATGTGCTAGATCTGGATTTAAAAACAGGACTTAGCACACTTTTAAGAGGACACTAGTCAGTGCGGCATAGAAAGTTGATTCAAACCAGCTGTATGTTGCTGGTTCTGTCATCAATGAGTAGCTTTCATCTACTTCTGTCGACAAAGGGTTTCTTAAGGCTGTACTTTTCACTATTTTTATTACTCTGGGTTTGCGTGTGCCAGTTTGCCTTCTCCAGAGGCTATCTCCAGTGGGACGCTGCCAGTCACAGGCTACTCACTGCCAGGCCTGCCATTCCCTTGGATGGGAATTGAAGACAAAACTCCAAACATGCTCATGATCAGTCACTCTCTCTTCCTTCACCCTTCTTGCACGCCTGCAAAAGTCATGCTATTCTGTGCTGCAACGGGCTATTTTGGGACGTGGGTTTAGCACTCTTTCAAAAGAGCAGTAGACTCGGGTACAGAAATAGTCTGTCATGTCATAGGAATGAACATTGTGCCTGCCACCGGTTAGCTGGGCAACTTGACAGGTGGCTAAACCTGCCATCCCAAGCCCCCACCAACACTTGTTCAGCCCCATCCACAAGAAGTTAAGGGTTGATTTCCTACCAGCACATGATGCTCACTAAAAAGAGACTCTAAGCCAGAGGAATCCACCAATTGTTTTCCTTAATTTGTCTTGCCTTAAAACTGTAAGGACAGCACCATTCCCTGGTCTTGTTATTCAGGCAAACTAGGTCTTGGCTGTCCAGGTATCAGATTTTATGCTAGTATATTTTTCTGCTGGTTCAAGGGCTGGCAGATTGTGTTTAATCTGGCTATTCCCTTTGCTGGGCTTGCTCCAAAATCCAAGGTAAAAGCTGCCTTCTAAAAGTTTTGTTTTCCTTTTCTAACCATTTTTAGCTATTTCTTCTCAATATTAGAGATTTCCTTCTCTTACCTGCTTTGATTAAGGTTCTTTGGCTGACTGTAATGCTCATGTGCAATTAAGTAGATTGTGACAGACAGATTCCATGAAGACAGTTAGCAAAAGGGTTAACTGCTGAAGGAATTATTACTGAGATGTTGCTAGAATTGTGGTTTCTGAGCTCTCCTGGGGGTAAGCAATCGGTGGGCAGGACATTCATGTGTAACCTGGGCACGTTTTAAAGTTATTTCAATGCACAAGAATGGTGGAATGAGACTAGGTACAAGCACACCGTTAATGTTTAAACTTCAGTTCTGTAGCAATCTGCACATCCACAGACAATGAATGGTCTTAAACACATGCCAGTACTGGAACTAGCAACTGTTTCAGAAAAATGTCAAAAATTTGTGATCATTCAAACACCTCCTACTTCTCCCACATTTAACAATGCAGTGGTTAGATGAATGCTTCGTGAACCATGAATGCTGCATGATGGTGTTGTTCAAAATGAAACAAATGCTGTTTCATTTTGAAGAAATGCTAGCATAATGGTGTGTGACATATTAATAGGACTGCAAGGGTCATTTCCATCCTATGCACTACCCTGAGAATATTGATTATGGGGGAATTAAAAGTATAATAAATACATTGCATAATTAAATACTTTGTATACTGTTTGGACCAGTGGGGCGCTCTTAAGTGGGAAGAAGCAGCTTTACTTGAAAGCCCAACTTAAGTTCACATTATTTTCCATATAGAACAAGGAGAAGAGGAGGAGGTGGGAACTCACCTTGTGGGCCATCAAACTTGGCTTTTTTGACTGGAAGGAGAAAGAGAAAAGAAAACAGTTACTGCTCAGCTCAGGATGCATAAAATCTGCACGACCTGATTTGCATGACCTCTTAAGCTGTTCCAAGCTTAGGTCTAGTATGTCATGCAAACCAGACCATGAATTAAGTTGTGGTTAAAGAGAAATGTGTTAGCCATAGTTGCTAACCATGGCTTGTTATTAGTTGACCTTAACCACAGTTCTTAGGGGGACGCGGTGGCGCAGTGGCTTAATGACACTGAAAGTTGCTGGCCAGAAATGGTCGACACTTCCGCAGTTCGAGCCCAGCTTTCGTGCAGCAGAGTGAGCTCCTGTTTCCTCCCCAGCTCCTGTCAACCCAACAGATTGAAAACTTATGTGAGGAGATAAATGGGGACTCTCACTCCGGTGGGAGGAAAAATGCTGGTGGCACCTTACAAAAGGAGTCGGGAACAGTTGCCAGTAGCGCGGAACCTGCGCACGCCCAAAAAAGGCGCGAAGCAACGGAAACCCCGCCTCCTGTGCTCGCCAGCTGGGCTCTGCTCTAGGAAGAAGGATCTGGCAAACCACTTCCGAAACACCTTGCCTTGAAAACTGCAAGGACTCGTCCAGGCAGTCACCGCAGAGTCAGTAACGACTGAGTGCGGATTAAAAAAAAACAAAAAAAACACAGTTCAGAGTGTCATCTGGAACCAGACTAATGTTTACTTTAAGCAGCCATTAGAGAAGGCAGGGAGAAGCTGCACCCACAGAGCAATGCTGGTCCTCCAAGGTGTCTATGTGTGTGTGTGTGGGTCAAAATCTGCAAGATGTTGGGCATGGCATTGAAATGGATGTTTCAATCATCATGCCACATCTGCCATTTTGCAGATTTTGACACTCCTTCCCCCAAATGTACCTGTTGCTCATTTTCCTACACGCCCCCAGATATAAGGAAGGTTATTTTTGAAAACAAAGAAACTGCAGGAAGAATCATTGGATGGCTTTCAGGTTTTCTTTCATAATGTTTTAATATTCAAACATCAAAGAAAAAGTACCTAGTGAGCATGCCCACTATGGCATATATGGAACTTCCCTTAATATCATAAATTCCTTGAATCTCAGATTTTTGCAATATTGCATCTCAAAATGTTAAACTTTCACCTGGAGAGGAAACTGGCCATAGCCATTCCCAGTAAAATGTAACAGTGACTCCAGCTTAGAAGATATTTCTTCAACCTGGTGGTCTCCAGCTGTACTTGGACTACAACTCCTAGCATTCCAAAGTAGCTATAACCGCTGGGTTACATCAGGCTGGGAATGCTGGGCCTTGTATTCCCAGCACATCTGGAGAGCACCAGATGGGAGAAGTCTGGCTTAGAAGAACCCCATCACTATTTCCGATACTCTTTGCAAATCGTATTTCCAGTGTGGCCAGAGAATTGGACTAATTCCATTTTCTTCGCTCCTGGAACATCATTAACCTACTTCTGAGCCATGAATGACATTGTTTTCAGCATTGTGATGAAGCCCCCAGGCAAGTAATGAGAGAGAAGGCATCTTTCCTCACTTGCCCTGAATTGCTGAACTCCCACACTCTTGAATGACTCAGGACTGTTACAGATCATCATCTTTTTCTGTATGTAGTTTTTCATATGTCATTTACAGGTAGTCCTCAACTTATGGCCATTCATTTAACAACCATTTGAAGTTACAACAGCACTGAAAAAAGTGACTTACGACCGGTCCTCACACTTATGACTGTTGCAGCATCCCCATGGTCATGTGATCAAAATTTGGGTGCTTGGCAACCAGCATGAATTTACAACAGTTGCAGCATCCCAGGGTCATGTGATCGTCATGTGTGACCTTCCCAGGAGGCTTCCGACAAGCAAAATCGAAGCCAGATTCACTTAATGACCATGGTGATTTGCTTAGTGACTGTGGCAAAAAAGATCATAAAATTGGGTGTAACATACTTAACAACCACATTGCTTAATAATGGAAGTTCCAATCCTAATTGTGGTTGTAAGTTGAAGACTACCTGTATAGGTTTTCCAAACAGTTGAAGCATGCACGCAACCTCTAAACGCACACACTGGCACTGTATTCATATTAGCCTCTTCCTCTTTCTTGAAGGATCTCCTGAAACTCAGGAGCACCACTGGCTGCCCCTCAGGACATTGACTAATCACCATGGAGCAACCCTCTCTACCCCCCTAAGGGCATCCAAGTAGCCTTTGCAGGAGCTAAGATGCTAGACTGAATCAGGGGATACCCTTTCAAGATCTCACTTGCTTGGCAGAGTCATCAGAACCAAAGCATTGCTATCAGATAACCAAAACCAAAGGTCTTTTAAAACAAGCCTTAAATCACTGACTACTGCAATCTTAAGCAGATGTCTGTTAGAGGTAATCATAGGATTCTCCCACATCTATTTCCCTGTTTGCCAGCTCTTAATGCTATACAGTCTCCAAAAGTGTGTCTGTACCTATACTTTTTTTTGGGGTGCCTTCAAGCCAGTTTTGACTCCCGGCAATTACATGACAAATCTATGCAGTTTCTTGGCAATGTTTTTTTTGGAAGTGGCTTGCCATGGCCTCCTTCTTCCTACAGCTGAGAGCAACGGGCCTAAAGTCCCCCAGCTGGCTTTGTGCCTCAGGTAGGACTAGAAGTCAGGGTCTCCTGGTTTCTAGCCTAATGCCTTTAACCACCAAACTGGCTCTCATCTATATCTACATCCATCTATCTCTAGCCACACACATACAACCTAAATTCCAAGTGAATCTTAAATAATATAAAGATTGATGGGCAACTCAGAGCCTTTCCTCACTTGCACCTAGCTATGGCCCAAACACATCCTGGCCACCTCTTTTTTGTGCTGTGTCCTCACAAAGTCACCATCTTCTAGTCCTCAGCACACACAGAGGCTGCCCTTAAGTCCAAGAGGTTTCCCTCTTTTATCCTGACCCAAGGACTGTGTGATGGCCGGCATGGTCAGGTGACTCCTATGGCCAATCCTTATTGGCCACTTTAAGCTGGGGTGGGCACGCCCTCTCCCTTTTATTTCCCTGCACTGTGCTGGGGGACCATTTTGGCTTTGGCCCTGGGGAAGGCCTGTCTCTGTTTTCAGCAGAGGCCTGGCTGGTGAGCAGCAGCGGCGGCGGCGGTGGTGGTGGTGGTGGTGGTGGTGGTGGTGGGCAGGGACCTTTGTGATGAAGTGGGAGACTGAGAGACTCAGGAACTCTCTTTTGGCTGGTGCTTTGTGTACAATGGGTTTGGGGTGCTTTTGAACATGGGTTTAGGAGTTGCTAAACTGTCTGCTTGGTGAAAACTTGCTTTCTCCTTCATTCCCATCCCATGTTAAGGAGTACATTTGGTGGATAATTCCTGCCAGTTTGGTGGGGAAGTGAGGGAAACGAAGCCAAGGGACTGATAACTATTCTTAACGTACTCCACAAATAAAGACAGCATCATTTGTAGAATATTATGCCCCTGGCAGGATAGCAGCAGCCCTTTGAGGTAGGCCAGGTCAAGAAAGAGACATGGGAGGGGTTCCAGGAATGCTACTTATTTGCTACTTATTTGTTGTAGGGTAGATCTGTAAAGCCTGTCACCTTTTTAAAGACAACATGGGGAAGGCAGGCTTCCTCACTTCCTGCTTTCCCAAGGACTAAGCAGCAGTTTCACCTCTCTCACCTCCTCCTCAATGCCAGAGCAAAATTCTTTTGCAGAGAGTGAGCACAACAATTTATCCTCATACAGCTTTCAAGGACTGATAGACAGCCCTTTAATTTACTGTGAGGAAAAGACCACAGGCAAAATCTCATTAACAACAGAAACATTGGGGAAGATTAGGAGTTTTTGCATACAATAAAAAAGATCCGGGAATGGGATGATGAGATTCCACAGAAAGCAAAAAAACAAGTTCTTTTTTCATTTAGTATATTCTTAATTATTCAAGAACTTTTCAGCACCCAATGAAAGCCTGCAGCCTATTCCTACATTTCATTTTATGATTATAAAATAATCATTTTATGATTATATAAGATATTATTATCTTAAAGCCCTGCTTTCATTTTGAAAATATATTGTTTTGTTTCCTGTCTTGGCTCTAGGAATTCTGGAAAATTCAAACAGCTGCACATTATTTTATAACCCCTGAGCTGGCCTGATTAAGATATTGTCCTCATATGAATTGGGGATTCATTCAAATTTGGTTATATGTTTTCCAGTATTGAAATCTGTCAACAAAATATCTCTTCTAAATATTGCTTTTCCAGTAGCTATGACTATCAGACCCATCAAAAAAGATTAATGTTTCTTCATGAGTTTACATGAGATTTCCCACCACCACCACTTACCCACAAATACAGAGTGGCCCAACATTCAAGGGCATCTGCAGAGAGAGGTCAAAAAAGCCAAGCTGGCTGTTGTGACTGCACAATCCCCCCTGCTTTTTAAAAATATTTTCTGCCAATATCTACTGCACACACAGATTCAGAGAATGTTAGTATTAATATATAGTATCAAGCTCTTTACAGATGTGTAGATACACACCTGAAAATTTGTAAAACAAGGCACATAAACTATTTTGAAGCACTCATACCCACAGAGTTATTTTTTTGTTAAACTGTTTGCACAACATGCTTAACAAAGTTTTGTTAACTTCTGTTCGCACAAGATCTTTAAGATGAAGGGAGAGAGGAGTCAGGCTTAATTCTGTAATCAGGTTAAACGTGTGAATGCAGCCAATGTGAATCCAGGATTAAACAACAAAAGGAAGAAGGGAAATGGAGGATTCCAAATACATTGGTTCTGCTTTAGAACCAAGAATTGTTACTTCAACATCCAAAATTGGAGCTAAATAATCAGATAATCCTGTTTAGTCTGCTAAATACCTGCCAGCCCATAAACCTAAGTCTTTGGCAGCACACTGGTTGAGAATGTAAAGGATTTTGCATCCAGAAGGCAGAAGAAATTCCCCAAGTTCTTTTTCTATTACTGATCCTTTCTGAGATGAGGAAACAAAT